TAGAAAGCAGAGGGCATGGGAATAGTCACGTGATCTCGCTGACGCAACAATATTATGCAGATGTTTTTTTATTAAAACTTCACAAGAAATTCTGAAAACAGTAGTCATCAATGAAACTTTAGAAATTTACTCTCGTGTATCATTTACATGTAGAACAAATAACTTTATATCCATCTAAACTGCACCATTTGATTTCTGAACATGGAATTGGATTTTGAACATTAAAGTTTCCACTTATCACGCGTCCCCGTGACAACAAAAGAAATCTTTCTTTGGCTAGGATAGGAGTGACATTCTAGTATTAAAGATACAACATTAAGTTTTTAACCAAAGATGGGTCACTATCAGAGTCAAAATTTAGCGATGAGTGGACAATTTAATGTGTTGTGATAAATGAAACTGCTTGCAATGTATTGAGGGAAGTATCTACAGTATAAAATGCTACAAGTAGCATATGAATGGACATGGTCTTGACAGAGGTTGATGCATTACTGAGACTGTCAAGAAATACACAAATATCGCATGTAACGTCGAGCATTTAACAGCAAAACAGCAACTCAAGATGGTGTATATCCAGTTCTACGACGGATGCTAAGAAGGAAGGAAAAGGTCTTAGATGAACCTGACTCTCCCAGATTCCGAAAAGGATCTATATTCCGATCCAGACATCCAGATAGGTCACTTGCAGTTTTGGTGTATCATTACACGACATGTCTGACTTAGAAAATTATCAATTAAAATTTGTATTGACAATTGTCTCAGAGAATTTTTTGGAACCCAAACAAGATATATTTATTATCCCATAATGCCATAATCTTCTGGAAATGTATAAGGTTGAGAAATATATTGTTATGTCTCCGTTTGTTAATTGATTTTTCCGTAACTTCGTTCCAACGAAACTTTAACGACACAAGTCTTTGCTTAATAAAACTGGTTTATTCTTTCCGAATATAACTCTGCGATACACTTAATCTCAATACTCGCGCTAAAACAACACTGTAACGAACGAACGTTAACTTCAACAATACCGTGTGACTGCAGTTCAATTACTCACTATCTACCCACACATTACCTTACCTTCGTCACGTTTTCCCCTCTTATATATACCAGCCTACCCTACTAGTAATTACTAGAACATTCGCCAAA